AAAACAAATATGGAAAATATTGAAAGAAATAACGGGAAAACAGAAAACCTGTTCAAATTTCCTTCCAAAAATGATTAAGATAAACAATGTATGTGTATATGAACCAAATGAAATAGCAAAAGAGTTTAATAAATATTTTACTGATATCGGAAGTAGGTTGGCTGATAGGATTCCATCTACAAATATTTCCTTTAATGATTTTTTGACAACTTCAAATAATTTACTTTCTTCCCATGACTTATTCCTAGACTTATCGATTGAAGAGTTTGAAAGAGCCTTCAAATCTTTAAAAAAAACAAAGCAACCGGTGCGAATGGAATAAACGGGAACATTATTATAGATTGCTATGAAAGTTTGAAAAATATTTTATTTAAAGTTTTCCAAACATCTATACAACAAGGGGTTTTCCCTGATCTATTAAAAATTGCAAAAGTTATCCCGATTTATAAAGAAGGAGAAAAATCAAACGTAAATAATTATTGCCCTATTTCTATCCTTCCTACGTTTTCAAAAATATTAGAAAAAATTATCTTCGAAAAAACATACAACTACCTGGTTTCAAATAATTTACTATATAAAAATCAGTTTGGCTTTAAAAAAAATAGTTCAACTGAACAAGCCATTATTCAATTTACACGTGAAGTCTTAAATTCTTTTGCTAAATCACAATATACACTTGGTGTTTTTGTCGATTTATCAAAGGCTTTTGATACAGTCAATCATGATATCTTACTTAAAAAACTTGAGTTCTACGGAATAACTGGTAAAATGATCAAATGGTATAAAAGCTACTTGTCAAATAAAAAGCAATTCGTCTACCACGGAGAAGAATTGCTTCCTATTAATCTTAAAAATAAAACATTAATTGAAATAAAATGTGGTGCTCCACAGGGTTCTATCCTTGGCCCACTTCTCTTTTTAGTATACGTCAACGATCTAAATAAGGCCTCGAATCTTATAAGCATCATGTTTGCCGACGATACCAATTTATTTTTGTCAAACAAAGACATTAACAAACTTTTTTTAGATATGAATAAAGAACTTAATCAAGTTTCTAACTGGTTTAAATGCAATAAATTAACCTTAAATATTGAGAAAACAAAGTGGATCCTTTTCCATTCCTCAACAAAAAAACGCTTTTTGCCTTATGATTTACCTAAACTTTATATTGACAAAGTAGAAATAAAAAAAGATTCCGTTTTAAAATTTCTAGATATTTATCTTGACGAAAATATGACATGGAAAGCTCATATTGATTATATATCAACAAAAGTTGCGAAAAGTATTGGTATCCTCTATAAGGCCAGAAATTATCTAAATAAAAATAATTTAAAACAACTATACTACTCATTTATTCATAGCTATGTAAACTATGCAAATATTGCCTGGGGAAGTACAGGTAAAAGTAAGTTGCAACGTCTTTACCGCCATCAGAAACATGCAATGCGAATAATATATTTTTTAAATCGTTTTTTAAATACAAAACCTCTATTTAAAGATATGAATGTATTAAATGTTTATGAACTTAACTTGTTCAATATTTTATGTTTTACGTTTTGTTGTATGAATAACCCCTTATTTCATGTTTTTAAAGATCTACTTACCTTTAAAGTAAAGAATAAATATAATTTGCGAAATAATAACTATTTAAAAGAACCCTTTTGTCAAACAAAGTTTAATCAATTTTGTATAGATTATCGAGCACCTTATATCTGGAATAAAATTGTACAGCCTAATTTAGATTCATCTATCTCTTTTTCTGTTTTTAAAAACAAGTTAAAGAATATTATTTTTTCTACGGATAATATATTGAAATATTTTTGAGATATTATTTTAACCATTTCTTATTTCAAATGTTTTGGATTCTTATTTTGTTATAAACTACCTGCATTATACTATATTATATTTATATTGTAATTTTTATATGGTTCTGGCGAGAAGATCAATATGATTTTCTTCCAGATTCCAAGTATATGTTTATATTACATGGAAATCACGACATGTAAATAATGTAAACTGAAAAAAAAAAAAAAAAAAAAAAAAAATATTCTTAAATCATTTGATGAAAAAAAATATACTTTAGGCGTATTTATTGATTTCAGCAAGGCTTTTGACACTGTAAATCATCATATTTTATTAACCAAATTAAAAAACTACGGTATTAAACACTCGAACCTTAAATGGTTTAAAAGCTATCTGTCAAATAGACAGCAACATATTTCTCATAATTACGGAAAAACTAACAACATGAATATATCTTGTGGAGTACCACAAGGATCTATACTAAGACCGCTCTTATTTCTAGTATATATCAGTGATCTAAGCAAATCTTGTAATGTATTAGGCACAATCTTGTTTGCAGATGATACTAATCTATTTTATGCTCACAATGATATAAAAATGTTATTTAAAATTGTAAACACAGAACTACTATACCTTGCTGAATGGTTTAAAGCAAACCAATTATCTTTAAATTTAACTAAGACAAAATATACTTTTTTTCATCGCTATCATGAACGAGACAAAATTCCATTAAAATTTCCAAATCTTTGTATTAACAATTGCGAAATAAAAAGAGAGGCATCATTAAAATTTCTAGGAGTACTCCTCGACGAAAATGTAACATGGAGAAATCTATAAAATATATTGAAGGTAAAATATCAAGTAGCATTGGCCTACTCTAAAGGGCAAAACCTTTTTTGAATTCAAGTTGTTTATAACTCTTATATTTTTCTTTTATTCATTCCTATTTTAATTACGCTAATATTGCATGGTGTAGTACCAATAAAAATAAATCAAAAAAACTCTTTAATATGCAAAAACATGCAATCAAAATTATATCTAATAAAAAACGCAGTACACCCTCCCAACCTTTATTTACTAAGTTAAATAAACTAAATATCTACCAAATAAGTATTTATCATCTTATAATTTTTATGTTCAAAATTAATAAAAGTATTATTCCAAAAACTTTTGATCTCTTATTCAAAACTAATCAGAATAAATACTTAACTAGACATTTAAGTAACACATACATACTACCCATAAGTTATTATGTTATTATGCGGCAACTGAGTTTTCAATATCAATTAGAGGACCAAAGACATGGAATAAAATACTAAACATCTGGGAGCGTATTCTGCAAACTTTTTTTTTGCGTAAGTTTGGCGTAAGTTTGGTGTAAGTTCAAAACAGTGAAATCCGTATTCACGAAACTTGCGTAGTTGCGTTAAACAAAACTTACCTAAGTTTTTTCGTAACTTCTGAGCTAAAAAATCGGTATTCACCAAACTTTTTATAAACTTGCTCAGCTCAATTTAAGCAAGAAAAGTTACGTTAGCTATTAGCTGCCTTAACTTTGGCGTAAAGTTAAAATAACTAAATATTAGAAATAGTGTAATATTATTATGATTCATATATTGTCAGATTGATATAGAATTTTATTATAATATATACAATTCATGTATATAAGTTGTATATACTATAATAAAGTTAACAATAATCATAAATATTATTAATATCTATGATAAAATTAATAGATAATAATAATAATCATAGATATTGACACAAATATTATTTGTGTTAATATTATTAACTCAAATAATATTTGTGTTAATATCTATGATTATTATTATTATTATTATCTATTAATTTTATCTAGAAATTATTATGATGCATTTATATTTCAAATATAAATGCCATTTATATTTGAAATACAAATGCATCATTATTTTTATAACTTAATAACATCTTGATATTTGTTACGTATAAAGTGTTTACTTATTCATGTATGTTTATTTACATATATAAATATATATATATATATATATATATATATATATATATATATATATATATATATATATATATATATATATATATATATATATATATATATATATATATATATATATATGTGTGTGTGATCGTGTATATGTATATGTAACATCTTGATATTTGTTACGTATAAAGTGTTTACTTATTCATGTATGTTTATTTACATATATATATATATGTGTGATCGTGTATATGTATTGTGTGTATGCTTGCATATGTATACATGTGTGTATGTATATGTATGAATGTATGTGTTTTGCGTATATGTGTGTATGTGTTTGTGTGTGTATGTATGTTTGTATGTATGTATGTATGTGTATCATACACACATATGCATAAATAGGTGTGTGCATATACACATATACATATATGTGTGTATGCGCGCACTGGACATACATACATTCACATACTGTGTGTATGTGTGTTTGGTGTGTGTCTATGTGTGTGTATGTATGTATATGTTTGTAAAAATATCTAATGTTAGCGATTCCACGGCTAAGCGAAAAACATTTGACGTTTGACAAAAAACACGAAATTTTCATGAAGTTTGCTCTCTTATATCTTTTTGTATAGGAAAGCAAGCAACCTCAGGTTTTTTGCATCAATTAGTGTTACTCAACCTCTTTTCAGCCATATATGAAAAGTACTATGCTTTATATGGCTTCACTTCACAGTATTATCCATATCTTGAGACCACTTTTGAGAAAAAATCTTGAAGCGGGAACGTTTTTTTAAAACGAAGCTTTTGGAGCTAAGGATTCTGAAGTACCAAAACAAATCCAATTTTTATAAAACTTTCCGTATATATTAAAAAAAGGTTGAGGAATCTAATGGAATGTGAACACTTTTTAACATTTATACATAAATTTTTAGTTTTCAGTGTTTAAAAACTTCAAGGTTAATTATTACAGAAAAAAAAGTGATTTTTGAAAGTGTTCAAGTGGAAATGGCAAATTCAGCCTTTCCTCTTTTTAAAACAAGTGTTTAATTATGTTTTCTTAAAAAATAGGTGCTTCGGATTTGTATATTAGAATTCTGTATATATACATCTATATTTCTTCGCGTATTTTATGACGTTTTTTGTTTTGATTTTGCAATTCCGAAAATTTAACTACAAATAAAATTGAAAATGAAAGTATATTCCTTATTAATGACTTAAATTTTCAAGGCAATGAAAATAAAGATTTTATATTTTTAAAGGTATTTTTTCTGGATTGCTCAACTACAAGCTTGATTCTCACTGTTTCTACTACTGTTTTTAGTCTGTAGATTCTCTAAACTGTTTTTTTCAAAACAAAAAGAAGTAGTAATCAACTAAACTTTTAGTCTAAAGTTTACAAAATGGAAATGTGTAAGAATGTTATCATTTTTTTTTCATTTATTTTTATATTTTTTATTGGCTAAGTAAAATAACCAATGAACTTTAATTTCAAATTCAAATTCTTTTCTTTAGGCTGTGAACTTAACAATCTACGTGAATTGGTGGTTCAATCTATAAGTCAAGAATGTAAGTCATACTTTGATAGACTTTTTAAATTTTTAAATCCGGAAAAATGTATAACAAATATTTTATATTTCAATAATTTTATTTATAGAATCTTAAGCTTGATGATCTACCTTTATTTTATTTTCACAAAGCTAGATATTATCAAACTTCAACTCTTTGATTAACAATAGATTTATTGTAATCACTCAAATTAAATTTAATATTAATTTTAGCTACCAAAGTGTTGTCTGAAATAGCAACCTGCAAGAATATTTTGGATTTTCTGGATATAAATGATGGCATTATTTCTCTCAAATATCCTGATTTTGTGTTAACCAATAGCCATTTTCTACAAATTTGCAAAGACAAAAATAAACATAACATAACATTAGAAAATCTTTCATTATTTTTTACAACCTACTGTAAGTATAATATCTCTAGAGTGATGGTTATAAGGATCTTAAAAAAGTTAAAAGGTTACATTGTAAAATTAAATCGAGCCAAAAATTTGGACTTTAAAAAACATTTTTTAAGCTCTGCTTTATCTTTTAATGGTGCTTTTTCTGATGTTGTTGGTTTGTTACCTTCTGATGCTTGTTCTACCCCTACTTCTATCTACAATAGTGAAATTGTTCCAAATCAAGTTACTGTTTTTGTATCTTCTGATTTAAATTTGCAAATTACTAATGATGAATTGTCGTGTCCTGTTACCCCAACTTCTATTATATACATCCCTTTAGAAAATAGGTCTGAAAAATTTCTTACTGAAACGCGTTTTAGTGAAGAGAATCTTCCAGTTTCCAATTCAGATAAAAAACTACCTTTATTTTCTGGTGATTTGACCTATCAAATAAAAAGATACAAACAGAGAATTAATCACCTTAAATTGCAAAATAGACAAGTTAATAGAAGATGTTATGAATATAAAAGAAAATATCAAGCAATCTTGTCAAAATATAATGTTCGAAATGTCAACAAAAGAGACGTTAGAAAAGATTGTAAGATTAACCAATTGTTGCAAATAAATTTAAGATTAGAAAAAGAAATTGATTTGGCTAGAAAGCGTTCCCAATCAGATCGACAAAAGGCTTGGTATTTAAAGAAAAAAATTAAAAACACTATTTTGAAAACATCTGATGAAACAAATGATTCATTCTTAAAGGAGAGTTTGAATTACTTTGAAAATCTTACAGAAGAGCTGAAGGAAAGAGTTGACATTTTTGAAAAAAATGTTATTGACGTTTATGAAGGAGGTAGATATAATGATGAAATTCGCTCGGTATATTACGACCTTTTAAGTAAAAATGTTTCTGTTAATAATGTTGAATCTGTTATCAGAACTGTACTACAAAAAATGGCTGGAATTTCATGTGGCACACTTCCAAGAAAATCTTTGGCTTCTGAATTTTTTAGTGAAATGAACCTTTTAGCAAAAGCTCAAGTGAGAGAGGCTATGTTGAATAGTACAAACAATGTTCTTCATACAGATGGCACAAAATATAATTTTAGAGAGGTTGGTAGTTTTCAAGTCACAACATCATCTGGTAGCTACACGTTTGGGATAGAAGATATGTTTTCGGGAGAGGCACAATCTTATTTTGGAGAGCTAAAAAACTTACTCACTGATATGTCTAAGATATTTTCTCCTGACAAGGAAAACTACGAGAATGATCTTAGGAAACTTATTTTTTCTTTCAAATCTTTGATGACAGATCGCACTATCGTTAATTCAAGTTTTTTTCACCAATTTAAACATTGGAGAGAAGCAATTTTGCCTTTTGTTGTTGAAAACTATGATCAGCTTCCTTTAAATGAAAAATTAAAAATTTCTCAAATGCATCATGTTTTTTGTGGCTTACACGTTATCCACAATCTAGGAATATATGCAGAAAAAGCAATAATAGAATGGGAAAAAGTGGTTGAGCAGGAAGGTAGTATTCATGGTGGTTTTAAAAGTTCTCAAAACTCTCGCACCTTTGATATTTTGTATGAACTTTCAAAACTTACCAGCTATCGGCATGGTGATCAGCGATATGGAAAAGCTGATGAATGGAAATCATTTTTGCGTAAAAGGTTTTCAAAAAATTTTATGGTTTCATTTCTGCATCATCGCTTTAATATTATATTTGTACTTGGTGGAGCAACGTATTATCATAAAGACCACCTTAAAGAATTTGTTATTATTCTTATTATTAATAATAACGAAACACCGACAATTCTTTATATGTATATTTGTTTTCTATTGGACATCTGCCGTCATGGTGACATACCCGTAAGTCATGCTTTCTATTTTTGTGCTGACATGCCTGTCAATATATGTATCCTTGTGTTTACATTTTTTTGTGTTTGCATGTATGTTTTTGTAGGTGTGTCTGCAATTATTTGCATGTTTGTTTTTACTCACTTGTTAGTCACTATATGCATGTTTGTGTTTATGTATCTGTTAGTCATTATGTGTATGTTTGTGTTCTGTTGGACCTCTGAAGTGGTGTTGACGCACATGTAAGTCACTATATGTATGTTTGTGTTTATGTACCTGTTACTCATTATGTGTATGTTTGTGTTCTGTTGGACCTCTGGAGCGGTGTTGGCGCACCCGTAAGTCACTATATGTATGTTTGTGTATATGTATCTGTTAGTCATTATGTGTATGTTTGTGTTCTGTCAGACCTCTGGAGCGGTGTTGACACACCCGTAAGTCACTATATGTATGTTTGTGTTTGTATACCTGTTACTCATTATGTGTATGTTTGTGTTCTGTTGGACCTCTGGAGCAGTGTTAACACACCCGTAAGTCACAATATGTATGTTTGTGTTTATGTACCTATCAGTCATTATGTGTATGTTTGTGTTCTGTTGGACCTCTGGAGCGGTGCTGACCCATCCGTAAGTCATTATATGTATGTTTGTATTTATGTAGTCATTATGTGTATCTTTGTGTTTATCTACCTGTAAGTCATTATATGTATCTTACTCTTTTGTTGGAACTGTGGAATGACTATAATTTTATTTGATAATGCAGGTTAGTCATTTTGATCAAGTTTTTGTTTTTTTTATTTATGTTTGTGTCTGTTGGTCTTATGGCACAGCGTTGAAACAACAGTAAGTCATTGTATGTATATTTGTGAGTTGTTCCAACTAGGCTGCAAGCAATCATTGTAGGAGTTGGAAGTTACTGGAAGAGAAAAGATGAAGTTTGTAGAGTAAGATAATAATTGACAGATGACTTAAAAGATTGCAAATTATATGAAACAGGGAAGCAAGATAAAGGAAGCGAATTCCAAAAAACTGATGTTCGAGGAAAAAAATAGAAGAATAAGAGTTTTTGGAGCACTTAGAAACAGTCACAAGAGAATGAATTTTAGTAGTTAAACAAGGGACTCTAGCTATTTAGAGCAGTGCCCATATTTGTAGAAAAGAGAAAGAGAAGCACCATTACAACGATGTGATAATGGTTGGAGGTTGGCTGCAAGAGCAGGTCCAACTATGTTTACAATGCATTTTTGCTCCTTGTCTAAAAGAGAAAGGGCATCATTAGAATATCTGCCCCAGCGTTTTTTGCAGCGTTTAGTGCCACAGGGTCTGTGTGTTTTGTGATTGTGATGTTATTGTTGTGATGTTCTGTGTTGATAGACAACTTGGCTTACCTTCTCGCTGGTGTCTATCGTTAAAAATGATTATTAGGTTGTTTCGTTACTGAAACTACTTCTAATCATTCACTAAAAGCCAAGAGATAAATTTTAGACAAACAATATTTTTTGTTTTAATGTTGTTTTCATTTTTTCATCTTAGGTAATGTCGATAGTTCACAAATCTCAAAAAATAAGTTTCTTATTTTATATTTATTTAGTTTTAATTGTTAATTTATAACTTTTTTTAATTTTTAGTTTTTAAAATGAATTAACAAATATTTTTTTTAAATTATTGTGTATCTAATGTTATTTGATGTATTATTGTATGTATTTAGATGTATTGTTTTTAATAATAATTTTATTACAATTTTAGGTAGAGTTCAAATTTGAATTTTAGTTTTATTAAAGAATCTTCTGTCTGTTAAATAGATAATTCTGAATGATTTATTTCTATGCCCTTATGCAGTGATTTACTAATCGGTTTGTAAATAAAGCAAAAGTTTTAAACAGATGAATTAATTGGATTCCACAATCCTTTATGCATATAGCATGAAGTTTTATAATATAACCTAAATTTTTTTTCTTTTTTTTCTAAAAGACTAGGTAAATAAATAAAAACATTTCAGTCTGTAAAATTAACAATTCTGGATAATTTTGACAGATGCAAAAAAAATTATGGCATTTAATTTTCTTATAGTATATAAGAAAATTAAATGCCATAATTTTTTTTGTATCTCTATCAAAAACTTTAATTTCAAATTTCTTCAGTCTGTAAAATAGACGATTCTGTATGATCCCAACAGATTCAATAAAAACTGGCACACTATTTAAAATTTCAAGTCAAATATAATAACTGTTCAAATATATCAAATATATTTAAGGTCGATATGCCCAATTGGTTTGTGCATCCCTTTTTCTGTAATTTAATGACCGGTCTGTAATTTATGCAATAATTTTACTGACAGGTCTGAAAATTATTTTTTGGATTCCATGATTCCTTTATGCATATTTGCATAGTGCAACCATAATTTTTTTCATCATAACACAGTTAAATAAGTAGAAACCCTTCAGTCTGTAAAATAAACAATTCTGGATAATCCCGACAGATTTAATAAAAACTAGATCACTAATTAAAATTTCAAGTCAAATGTAATAACGGTTCAAAAATATCAAAATTTTTAAAAAAATTACAAATTATTTAAAGTTGATATGTTTAATTTGTTTGAACAGCCCATTTTCAGCAATTTACTGACCGAAAAGTAATTTATATGATTATTTCACTGACCGGTCTGTAAATTACGCAATTTACAGACCGGTCAGTAAAATAATGGATTCCATGATTCTTTTATGCATATTCACATGGTATAATTATAATATCACCCTAAATTTTATTCTCCAAAACTAAGAAAATAATGTAAAACCCTTCAGCTGTAAAATAGATGATTCTGGACAATCGCAACAGATTTTTTTAAATAAAATTTTGGTTTTTTATTTTCTTATAGTTTTTTGATCACTATGAAAAATTTCAAGTCAAAAGTAATAACCATTCAAAAGTTATTCAAAAGTCAGTATTACCCCAAAAATATAGTAATTAGTAAAAACTCTCAGTCTGTAAAATAGGTGATCCTGGTAGATCCTGACAGATTTAAAAAAAAAAATTTTGATTTTTTATTTTCTTATAGTTGTTGGATTGCTATAGAATATTTCAATTCAAATGTAATAACGATTCAAAAGTTATTAAAACGTCAGTATGACCATAAAAATGTATAAATTAGTAAAATTTCTGGGTGCGTATTCAGCAAACTTTTTTTTTGCGTAAGTTTGGCGTAAGTTTTGCGTAAGTTCAAAACAGTGAAATCCGTATTCACGAAACTTGCGCAGTTGCGTTAAACAAAACTTACGTAAGTTTTTTCGTAACTTCTGTGCTAAAAAATCGGTATTCACCAAGCTGAAATGGTATTCACCAAACTTTTTATAAACTTGCTCAGCTCAATTTAAGCAAGAAAAGTTACGTTAGCTATTAGCTGCCTTAACTTTGGCGTAAAATTAAAATAACTAAATATTAGAAATAGTGTAATATTATTATGATTCATATATTGTCAGATTGATATAGAATTTTATTATAATATATACAATTCATGTATATAAATTGTATATACTATAATAAAGTTAACAATAATCATAAATATTATTAATATCTATGATAAAATTAATAGATAATAATAATAATCATAGATATTAACACAAATATTATTTGTGTTAATATTATAAATACAAATAATATTTGTGTTAATATCTATGATTATTATTATTATCTATTAATTTTATCTATAAACTATTATGATGCATTTATATTTCAAATATAAATGCCATTTATATTTGAAATACAAATGCATCATAATAATTTTACAACTTAATATTATCTTGATATTTGTTACGTATAAAGTGTTTACTTATTTATGTATGTTTATTAACATATATATATATATATATATGTGTGATCGTGTATATGTATTGTGTGTATGCTTGTATATGTATACATGTGTGTATGTATATGTATGAGTGTATGTGTTTTGCGTATATGTGTGTATATGTTTGTGTGTGTATGTATGTTAGTATGTATGTATGTATGTATGTGTATCATACACACATATGCATAAATAGGCGTGTGCATATACACATATACATATATGTGTGTATGCGCGCACTGGACATACATACATTCACATACTGTGTGTATGTGTGTTTGGTGTGTGTCAATGTGTGTGTATGTATGTGTATGTTTGTATGAATATCTATGTATGTTTGATTGTGTATGTGTGTTTATATATATATATATATGTATATATATATATATATATATATATATATATATATATATATATATATATATATATATATATATATATATATATGCATATATATAAACGTATATATAGATTTGTAGGTCATCACGTTTTTGTCAGTTATATAACTGTTTAATAAACCAAAACATTGTGTATTATAGTATCATAGTATTATTGTTATATTTTTGTATAATATGATTAATTTATTATCTTATAGTTGTAATATAGCGTATAATAGGGTCCGAATATATTTAAATTACATGCATCATGATGATATATTATAAATAAATATTGATATAACATCTTTATGACAACCATTAAGATGTTATATTATTAGTTAAGTTAAACCTAATGTATTTAATTTATTTATATTAAAATATTATTATATTATTAATATAACATAACATCTTATGCAAAATAATAATAACATTGTTATTTAAATTAATATATTTAGTATATTGTATATTATTTGGATTATCTTTTAAAAGATGCTGTATTGTTACAATGCAGTTATGATTTTGTTAATATATACAATTATTGAATTATTATATTCATAAAAAAAACAACTATATCTTTATAAATATTAATAAAACACTATATATTTACAAAAAAGCAAGTATATTTTTATAAATATTCTATGTTTTAATAGCTTTATTTTGTTTTAGTTTAAATAGAAATTTGATTAATTTGGTCAAGATCAAATCTAGCGTTAAGCTCAATATACTGCTTTAAACGATTACTCTGATGTAGAATGTGTTAAAAAATCTCATTTGTATAAAAATATATAGAAGTATATATAGCCAACACATTAACAATGATTTGTCACCAAGCATATTGAGGAGCAACCTAATTTCTTCAGAAGCAAAAATGTAACTGAGAGTTTTTAAGTTAACTGGGAGTTTCAAATAGTAATTGGTAAAAACTACTAGTCAATTCAAAAAAAGAATAATTCTTATTTTTTTCTATTTTTGAATTGAAAAAGACATTAGAATATAATCCTAATGCAGATTTCCTTTTTGCTTATTAACAGTCATGATTGCACCATTTAATCAGCCAACTACACCAGAAAAAATCTATTTCAATAAAGTTTACCTACAGATAGATAGTGATGTGGGGCAATCCTTTGATCATCTCAAAAACCATTGAATGTCACAAGAGACGTGAAGCACTTCAGTGCTCCTAAACATATGCTTACCCAAACAATATATTGCAAAATATATTTTAAGTGTAAGTTGCTGGAAAACTTTTACAATTCCTTAGGATTAGAAATTCCAGATGACATAAACTTTGAGGACAAAAACGAAGATGATATACACTATGTTCAGGTTAAATTAACACAAGTCAACCAATTCGACTTGGCATTGTACAAAGAACACTAGTTAAAACTATGTTATTAAATTGAAGGGGATATGGAGATATATATGATTTACGTGATATTTATGAATGAAAAAAATGAAAGTTTTTTATTTATTTATTAATTGCATATTAAACAATTTAAAAATTTATCTGCCCTTAATAACCTCTTTGTAGAATAATCAATTCTGAACCCTCTCTACCTCTTTTCAACTTAAAACTATTTTCCTAATATTAATAATTTTTTTTTAAATAAATATTCAATAAAAAGTATTTAGTTTTTACAGCAAAGTTTATAAAAAAATATTATAGTCATTTTATTAGGGTGTGAAAAATGTTAATTAGTAATAACCCCTAATTTAAATTAGTTAAAAATTATATGAATTCAATATTAGAAAAGTTTGTATTATAAAATTACGAAAACTTGGTTTATTCAAACAAAAATTAACTAGGTTGATTTTTGCGTAAGTTTTTGCGTAAGTTTGGCGCAACTCGTGCGCAACCCTAACTTTACGGAAATGCTGCAAAACATTGGTGAATACCAAAACTACGCTGAACTTACGATTTCCGTAACCTTAGTTGAGCTACGCAAGAGTTACGAAAGTTTGGTGAATCCGCACCCTGGTCTGTAAAATAGATAAATTCTGGTCAATCCTGACAGATTTCTAAAAAAAAAAATTTGGAATTTTATTTTCTTATAGTTAATTGGTCACTATGTAAAATTTCAAGTCAAATGTATCATCGGTTCAAAAGTTATTCAAATGTCAATAATACTTTCATTTTCGGTGCCATTTCGCAGTAAATTTTCCATACTTAGGCCCTATACCTTTTGTCAAAAAATTACCCGTTTTTTCACTACAAAAAGGTCAATAACTTTTGATCCGCTCAACTTCAAAGGCCCCTCATTTTTTAAG